TTTTAGTATTTTTTCATTAGATAGTCTTCAAAAATACAAAAAAAAGAATAATGTGGGCGGGGAAATAATCACATAATTTTCATTTTGGGAGAATTATTCCTACACTGATGCAAAAATAGCAGAACCCAACTATCAAACCTGTATTTTGAACACAAATAGTTAAATACAGCTAGTGTCTGCTAGTGTCTAGGACAACACCTCCACAAACTTCTAACCTGATCACAGATTTGTGCGCACATGTGTGGGAACTTACGGCAGCACCAGTGTGTTCTCCGGAGGCTTGTAGTATTCATACAGTCTGGTCTGTTGTGCGTACTGTTCATCGTGCAGAATGGGGAGTTTGCGTAGAGTTTCAACAAGAGCATTAGGTTCTGGGGACAGAACTGCAAATGCAGAAGAAAAGCCAGTAAGAACGCTATTAACAAAGACACATCTGATAACAAATGCACCAAAGTAGGGTTCTTATCACGATTTTTATCACGATTATAGTGACCAAAATTATCACGGTTATCAGTATTATCACGGTATTGTTCAAATGTGCTGGAGATGCCAAAGTCATATACAAACTGTCAGACTGTCATGTTTGCAACCCTGTTCTTTTGACCAGAATTCCGGCCAAAAAGATACCATTCTGAATATTTGACACTGTACTAATACTGCATCATTTTGATATTTCCCAGTCTTGTACATTCTTGTATCACAGCATTACAATGTTATACCATGCTATGGTAATCAAAATAGTTATTTATGCTGGAAATTCAATTTAAGTTTACATATTAAATAATTATTTGGTAATGTTAAGTTATTGGATAATCCGGTCAATTAATTACTGTACAAAATTAAATGTAACAATGTAACACTAAAAATCTCATGAAAAATCTTTTTTGGTGTCTAGTGAGGTAAAAGCAAAACTGCATCATGCAGACCCATAATGACAGGTGTAAAGCTACAGAAAGCAGCAGCCTGTTTCCATATCTGTAGAGTCTTGGATCAAAATGTGTCTTTCAAAGAGAACCTCTGTTCAGTCCATATATGATGGTTGATTTTCACAGAGCCTGTGTTTGTGGCAGAGTGGACGATAAAAGGTTCTGGGTGGAGAAAGTCAGTGTTTATTGTATGTCATTTATGTAATACGGATTCTGTCCTTGAACTTCGATAAACAATTTAACAGAGCTGAATGTTTTTGTGTTTGACCTAATGACCTTGCAAATTCTTTAAAAGGCGCTATCATTTCTTTTTATCAGCGTTTGTTTTAGATAAGCTTCTTTTTATATATAAAGAATCAAGATTGTTCAAGCATTATTGTGCAGGAAATGGTACTAAAGCCCAGTGTCGGGAAAGATTAACTACAGTTTACAGAAGGCAAATATTTGAACATTCTGATCACGGAATTACTAATAAAGTCATTAAACATGGTCAGCATCCTCTTCAGAACAATTCTATTTGAATACTGTAAACAAAACCACTCTTGAAGCACTCTTCCCATTACCGTTTATTACTTTATATAATCAAGTCATTACACAGACATTCAGCTGTGCAATTCATTACCATTTGGATCAATATGTGTATGTGTTCCTGCTTCTAATGTACATCTATTAATGTACAGCTGCAGTTTTGGTTTAATACAATTAAAAACTTGCAACCTCTTTGCTCTCAAACCAAAAATGTAGCCACTGGACTGGACTAGTTATACTTGAAATTCATGAAATGATATTCTTTGATAATTATTACTGACATTTTCAATTTAAAACATCCACCACATTACTGTATGACAGGCTAATGGCAATTGCTATGTTGTAGCACTCAATATGAAATCGAAATTGTTAATGTCTAACTGTTCTGTTATTTTAGTTTTGACTTGAAAATAAGCAAATCATTTAACACAGACTAAAAAATATATCATTATTTGTGCATTACCCAAGCGGCAGTTATTGCAAGATAAATACTTATTCACAAAATAATTTGATAAATAAATGAATAATATATAAATAATCTTTTTTTTAAATAATACAAACACTGAAACTCAAAGAAAAAAACATTTTTAATGATGATAATGTTAACTTTAACATTTAGTATATTGTGAACTTACTAATTATATATGCTAAATTCTTTATCCACAAACCCAAATTGGCATTGAAAAAAATCCTAATTTTACTCATTTTAAATCAGAAATAGGTTTCTGCTTGTATACATTAAAATTATTGTAAAACCTTAAATCCTTTGAATGATTTATAATGCATTAAATATAGCCTATATTACTTGACCAATGATTATTTTTTTTTATTATTATTATCATTGTATTTTATCCTAATATTTGAGATAATGTAACTGATATGTAACTGTCTTTTTATGTTCATTGTTTAAAAGACTGCAATTAAAAGACATGGCATACATGGTTTACAGATGTCACTTGGATTGTTATTTATCACAATGGCAACAATACATTTCAAGTTTAGCATGTCCAAATACATTTGGGACCACAGTACATTTATATTTAGTTAAAGATTATAATTAATTTCCAAAGACCCATAGAGTGATGTGTACCCCCACTATTTAAACTGTTCCCACTGATTTGTTGTTTTGAAATATGTGAAGGATATGAACAAATAATCCCATAAACGTGTAATAATATTAATATAAGAATGTGCACCATGTGTCTGTAGTGTGCAGTATCAGTCGAGCCTCATGCAGTCAGGTGTGCAGTAAGGGTAAAAGCAGGTGTGTGAGCGACGCTGACAGGGTTTACCATTATTATGATACGTCATTCCAATGGTTCCGCCGGTGTTTATGACCAGGACCCTCGCCTCGACATTTGGGCTGATATCAGGAGACTCCGAGCTGCTCGAGAACCTCCGGCGACTCTGACCCGCGGCGCTCCGGCTCAGAGACTTCTGCAGCTGAAACGCATCGGGCTGACCGAGCTTGCTACGAGAAAGCGCTCGACCCAGAGAGGTCATGCTGGCTGAAGACGGAGCCGACGAAGTGTGTTTACATTCCGCCATATCGGACTAGCTTCTTCCCAAAACCGAGCGACGCAGTTTCTTAAAGAGACAGCGCCTTGATTTTGAACACCGATAAAGGTACAGATTCTGGAGACGTACAAATAAACGTATTGTGTCAACTTAAAGTATCGTTATTAGCAGAATTTATTGTAAATAATAATAGATAATACTAAAAATACTCAAACCTTATACTTCCAGTCCATGAGTATCCATTGTAGCTTAAGTTCATTCATTAATTTATCTTTTAGCCTCCTTGGCCTTGACAACATACACATGAAGATAACATCAGAATCAGAAGAGCTTTATTACCAAGTATGTTTACACACACAAGGAACTTGACTTGATGACGGGAGCTTCCAGTGCAGAAGAAAGTACAGACATAGTGAAGACATACATAGCAATAACACAGTAGGGATGGAATATAACATATAAGAAAAAAAAGGAAATTAAATAATGTACTATATACAGAAATAGAAGTATAGGGAAAAAATGTAATTGTTTAGATAAATGTACAGATATGTTATAAGTGTGCAGATATGTTATTTACAAAATGTGCAGTTTGCAAGTGTACAAATTTCGGATTCTGTGTATAAATATGTCAGTTGTGATGGACGATAATTATGAACGTTTAATTGTTCAGGCTGAATATAGCCTGCGGGAAAAAAACTGTTCTTGTGCCTGGCTGTTCTGGTGGTCAGTAATGACCGTGAATTTAACGGTAAAAGACTGTAAAAATGCTACAGTAAAAACCTGTTAAAGTATATAATAACATTTTATCAGTTAATGAAATTACGTTATTTATCTGTAAATTTAAGTTAAAACTGTAAAACCTAAAACCTTGCTACCGTATTTTTTACGGTAAAATTCCGGCAACCACAGCTGCCGTTTTTTTACCGTAAACTGTAAGGATTGGCTCTGTAGCGCCGGCCAGAAGGCAACAGTTCGAAGAGAGAGTGGGCTGGGTGTGAGGGGTCCAAGGTGATTTTCTTAGCCCTTTTCCTCACTCTGGAGATGTAAAGATCTTGGAGGCTGGGCAGAGGGGCACCGATAATCCTCTCAGCAGTCCTGACTGTCCGCTGTAGTCTCTTGATATCTGATTTTGTAGCTGAACCAAACCAACATTTACTCTCATATTTGTTGCTGCCCTTAAATGTGTGTTTTCGGACCAATGAGAGCATATCCAACCATTTATGGTTCCTTGGATTTATGAAAATGTTAGTATCTGGTTCAGAACAGAACTTTGAGATTCATTTTTGATGAGCCTGTTCTTTCTTAATCATATCTTAATTTACCTGTTGTACGTTAGTTCTGGTCATTCACTGACTTTGTTGAGCAGCAGCCCAAGAGTGTTGATATTCAGACAAACTAGGACTTTTTACTGTTTCTACTGTGTCACTCTCATTATCCTTGTTTGTTCCAGACTGTCCATTATAAATGTGACTAATGTGACTTGTTACATTGTTACATCAGTAGGTGGTGACAAGTGACTGCCTTCATAAGTCAGTTATGGGTGTTATGGGTCTGACGCCTATTTATTTATTTGCTGGAAGTCAGTGGTCACCAAAATGGGTTGGTTACCAATAAGCTTAAGAATGTGTTCTGTTGTGTTCCTCCGAAGAAATAAAGGAAATAAAGCCATATAGTTTTGTAACTTCATGGGGGTTATGAAATATAGACAGAATTTTCACTTTTAGGTAAACTTTCCCATTATCATGCCTTTCATCAGCACTGTCAGATTTTTTTTTTTCCTCAATTCATAACAACCATCTTATAATTTATTGATTTTTTTTTAATCACTTTTGTATTAGATTTGTTCTCTGTTGTTGCTAATTGTACAGGAACAACTAATAATGTCGCTATCGCTAACTGCCCCGTTTTCTATATTTTATATTGTGTGATATTGAATGATATGTGTATTTTAAATGTGTGTTTTTTAAATTAAAGTCTGACGTTTGCCAACACCTTTATTATGAAAATCGGGCTGCAACGGCCGTTTCCGCTCGTTCGCGTTGACGTAGTCAGTTTCACACTGAACTCTGCTGATTTTAGGAGTGAACACCGGGGTTGAGACTGCTAGAGAATGGTGGGCCTCCGCAGGTAACTAAAACGCATTTAGTCGCTCTAAAGTGAATGATAATAACTTGTTAATGGTTACATTTTACATAACCTGTCGAAAATATGTGTAAAAAGTGTGTGGTAGCGATTTTCTGTGGGTTGTTCGGCCGGCTAAGCTAGCAGGCTAAGTTGCTCTTTTCTGGCACTCCCTCTGAGCATCTCTTGTCTCTCAGGGGCACGTGAGACACAATTCGAATTCAGGACGGTTGAAATCGACGCGGCTCCGCTTAAGACGGTCCAGATGACAGACCCACCGGCCGGCCAAATGAACGCTTTTCCGCCGAGGCTCTGAACGACTTCAGCTGCTATCCGGTTACATTTTGGGGGAAGGACGTGAACCAGCCCCCGAGACGGACATTCACACGCCAAGAGGAAGTCTCGAAAGACCGCAGGCTCTTAAAGAGGCGTCACAGCACTTACCAGACACACAGGAAAAACACCGAAAAATCGCTGCTTTTGTCGCGTTTCTGTGGATTATTGTTGCGGGTGGCGTTTTTCAAACTGGTACCACCCTACCACCGAAGCAAAAACCCTGAAAATCGAGCTTTGACCTTTTCAGTTCTACTGAAAGTTTTCAGTACTGTCTTTAATCAGCAACCCAGTGGCCTGTATTGGCTGAACTGCAGATTATTCACTGTGACTTTAAGCCCAGTTTCGTGATAAAGTTACATATACACGTGTTCTGTTTACTTCCAAATTAGACATTCCAAAGTGGAAGTCTTAAAGAAAAAGCCCTTGTATTTCACTTTTCAAACCTTTATCCTTATCAAACTTTTTTTCTTTTTGGAGGCTAGTAACCATTTATGAACGGTATACAAGATGGGGAAGATGCTGTCAAAGATATTTGGTAACAAAGAGATGAGAATATTGATGCTCGGACTGGATGCCGCAGGAAAAACCACCATCCTTTATAAGTTGAAACTCGGCCAGTCTGTGACCACCATCCCAACTGTCGGTTTCAACGTGGAAACTGTCACCTACAAAAACGTCAAGTTCAACGTGTGGGACGTGGGTGGACAAGATAAGATCCGTCCCCTCTGGCGACACTATTACACAGGCACGCAGGGGTTAATTTTTGTGGTGGATTGTGCTGATAGAGATCGCATCGACGAAGCCAGGCAAGAACTCCACCGCATCATCAACGACCGCGAGATGCGGGACGCCATCATTTTGATTTTCGCCAACAAGCAAGACCTGCCGGACGCCATGAAGCCACACGAGATCCAGGAGAAGCTGGGACTGACACGCATCCGGGATAGGAATTGGTACGTGCAGCCGTCGTGCGCGACCACCGGTGACGGACTGTACGAAGGCTTAACTTGGTTAACATCTAACTACAAGTCTTAATGACACTGGCACTGACTGTTTAGGACAAATAAACTCAATATGGGGAAAATCACACTCTCCACCGAATATTCGTGCTGTTTTGATTTAGAGTTAACATTTATTTTTGGTTCGTTTTCAAACGGCCCTCTTTGAAACAACGTAATGGGTTTGGCTTGCTTTTAGTTTCCTGTATACTGTGACACACACCATGGACTATTGCTTAACATGATAAAGGATTCCTGAATGAAGATTCTTTTTTTTTTTTTCGATTGTAGGTTTTCTATATTTGTTTTCTCTACTTCAGCTTCTTTCTTTGAGATTTCCGAGACAAAAAATGGAGTTTGTCTCCTGCGAACAGTCCAATAGTGTGTTAAAGGCATTTTATACCGAGATGTATCAAAACAGTGGCTCTGTAGCGCCGACCAGAAGGCAACAGTTCGAAGAGAGAGTGGGCTGGGTGTGAGGGGTCCAAGGTGATTTTTTAGCCCTTTTCCTCACTCTGGAGATGTAAAGATCTTGGAGGCTGGGCAGAGGGGCACCGATAATCCTCTCAGCAGTCCTGACTGTCCGCTGTAGTCTCTTGATATCTGATTTTGTAGCTGAACCAAACCAACATTTACTCTCATATTTGTTGCTGCCCTTAAATGTGTGTTTTCGGACCAATGAGAGCATATCCAACCATTTATGGTTCCTTGGATTTATGAAAATGTTAGTATCTGGTTCAGAACAGAACTTTGAGATTCATTTTTGATGAGCCTGTTCTTTCTTAATCATATCTTAATTTACCTGTTGTACGTTAGTTCTGGTCATTCACTGACTTTGTTGAGCAGCAGCCCAAGAGTGTTGATATTCAGACAAACTAGGACTTTTTACTGTTTCTACTGTGTCACTCTCATTATCCTTGTTTGTTCCAGACTGTCCATTATAAATGTGACTTATTATGCAGGTTACATTGTTACATCAGTAGGTGGTGACAAGTGACTGCCTTCATAAGTCAGTTATGGGTCTTAGAAGGTTGACGCCTATTTATTTATTTGCTGGAAGTCAGTGGTCACCAAAATGGGTTGGTTACCAATAAGCTTAAGAATGTGTTCTGTTGTGTTCCTCCGAAGAAATAAAGGAAATAAAGCCATATAGTTTTGTAACTTCATGGGGGTTATGAAATATAGACAGAATTTTCACTTTTAGGTAAACTTTCCCATTATCATGCCTTTCATCAGCACTGTCAGATTTTTTTTTTTCCTCAATTCATAACAACCATCTTATAATTTATTGATTTTTTTTTAATCACTTTTGTATTAGATTTGTTCTCTGTTGTTGCTAATTGTACAGGAACAACTAATAATGTCGCTATCGCTAACTGCCCCGTTTTCTATATTTTATATTGTGTGATATTGAATGATATGTGTATTTTAAATGTGTGTTTTTTAAATTAAAGTCTGACGTTTGCCAACACCTTTATTATGAAAATCGGGCTGCAACGGCCGTTTCCGCTCGTTCGCGTTGACGTAGTCAGTTTCACACTGAACTCTGCTGATTTTAGGAGTGAACACCGGGGTTGAGACTGCTAGAGAATGGTGGGCCTCCGCAGGTAACTAAAACGCATTTAGTCGCTCTAAAGTGAATGATAATAACTTGTTAATGGTTACATTTTACATAACCTGTCGAAAATATGTGTAAAAAGTGTGTGGTAGCGATTTTCTGTGGGTTGTTCGGCCGGCTAAGCTAGCAGGCTAAGTTGCTCTTTTCTGGCACTCCCTCTGAGCATCTCTTGTCTCTCAGGGGCACGTGAGACACAATTCGAATTCAGGACGGTTGAAATCGACGCGGCTCCGCTTAAGACGGTCCAGATGACAGACCCACCGGCCGGCCAAATGAACGCTTTTCCGCCGAGGCTCTGAACGACTTCAGCTGCTATCCGGTTACATTTTGGGGGAAGGACGTGAACCAGCCCCCGAGACGGACATTCACACGCCAAGAGGAAGTCTCGAAAGACCGCAGGCTCTTAAAGAGGCGTCACAGCACTTACCAGACACACAGGAAAAACACCGAAAAATCGCTGCTTTTGTCGCGTTTCTGTGGATTATTGTTGCGGGTGGCGTTTTTCAAACTGGTACCACCCTACCACCGAAGCAAAAACCCTGAAAATCGAGCTTTGACCTTTTCAGTTCTACTGAAAGTTTTCAGTACTGTCTTTAATCAGCAACCCAGTGGCCTGTATTGGCTGAACTGCAGATTATTCACTGTGACTTTAAGCCCAGTTTCGTGATAAAGTTACATATACACGTGTTCTGTTTACTTCCAAATTAGACATTCCAAAGTGGAAGTCTTAAAGAAAAAGCCCTTGTATTTCACTTTTCAAACCTTTATCCTTATCAAACTTTTTTTCTTTTTGGAGGCTAGTAACCATTTATGAACGGTATACAAGATGGGGAAGATGCTGTCAAAGATATTTGGTAACAAAGAGATGAGAATATTGATGCTCGGACTGGATGCCGCAGGAAAAACCACCATCCTTTATAAGTTGAAACTCGGCCAGTCTGTGACCACCATCCCAACTGTCGGTTTCAACGTGGAAACTGTCACCTACAAAAACGTCAAGTTCAACGTGTGGGACGTGGGTGGACAAGATAAGATCCGTCCCCTCTGGCGACACTATTACACAGGCACGCAGGGGTTAATTTTTGTGGTGGATTGTGCTGATAGAGATCGCATCGACGAAGCCAGGCAAGAACTCCACCGCATCATCAACGACCGCGAGATGCGGGACGCCATCATTTTGATTTTCGCCAACAAGCAAGACCTGCCGGACGCCATGAAGCCACACGAGATCCAGGAGAAGCTGGGACTGACACGCATCCGGGATAGGAATTGGTACGTGCAGCCGTCGTGCGCGACCACCGGTGACGGACTGTACGAAGGCTTAACTTGGTTAACATCTAACTACAAGTCTTAATGACACTGGCACTGACTGTTTAGGACAAATTAACTCAATATGGGGAAAATCACACTCTCCACCGAATATTCGTGCTGTTTTGATTTAGAGTTAACATTTATTTTTGGTTCGTTTTCAAACGGCCCTCTTTGAAACAACGTAATGGGTTTGGCTTGCTTTTAGTTTCCTGTCTACTGTGACGTACTTGTGTCACACACCTTGGGCTATTGCTTAACATGATAAAGCATTCCTGAATGAAGATTCTCTATTTTTTTTTTTTTCCTTTGATTGTAGGTTTTCTATATTTGTTTTCTCTACTTCAGCTTCTTTCTTTGAGATTTCCGAGACAAAAAATGGAGTTTGTCTCCTGCGAACAGTCCAATAGTGTGTTAAAGGCATTTTATACCGAGATGTATCAAAACTGTCCAGGCACCCACTGTAGCAAAGCACAGTTTTGCTGAGGAGGTTGTAGCATACTAATTGTAGGTAGCTATGTGGTGTAACAGGTTTTGAACCGTGCCATAGTTATGATATCACTGACATCCAATGATAATCAACATGTAAAAGAGTCCATGGAACATTTTATGCAAAAGTCTAATCGTGGAAGGCGGGCTTACCATAGACATAACTTATATTCACACAGCATAATTGAACTGAGTGATGTCTTGTGCTCTCGAAAGCTTGAAAAACCACAGAAAGGTTTTTGTCTGCATTGCAATGTAGCCCAAAACGAGTTCAACGTTAAAGAGACTTCATTTTGAAACATCGAGGGATGCCTTTTGTAGCCCTTTTACCATTTAGGCTAACTACATTGACCAGATTGTCTTTGACTTACACTCATGTGTCTCTAAAATGTGGGATTGTTACGTTCTTGCATTTCAAGTGTGGTGCTTGCGGTAGAGTGGACTGAGTTTGTCATTTTGGAGAGAAATGTTTCATTCTATTAATTTCCTCTCTTTGCTTTAATCATTTTGAGAAACATGTATAGAAACAGCTATGTAATTGTAACTTCAAATTAAACTTAGTCATTTTAATGCTTTTAGTTCATTCTTGTTCTGACCAATTCATGCCGTCTTTGATGCCTTTTGATGCATGGGAGTTTCCACCGTCATTTACCAAGCCAAACCAAAGTCAGATGGAAAATGAATTTAGCGCTGCTTAAAAATTCCTCCATTTCATTTTAGTTTTGTTCTAGGTAGCGCACATGGAAAATCTTTTCTCGCTTTCCCTGAGTTTGCAGTCCATATGTATTTGCACAATATGTTCCAAACCCAGGATTCCAAGCACTTTGGAATCCGTAGCAGATAAGATTCTAAAGAATGTGTGTTGGGTTTAATGTTTGACCTCGTCATGTGTTTGCGCAAAGGACTCCAGACACCTTTCAAACATATGTGAACTGGCACATTTTCAGTGAATGATTTAATTAATAATCTAAACGCCCACCATTCATTTAGAGAGCAACATCACAGTGCAGTAACTCTTAGATCGTCCTTTAACGTCTCATCGCAAATATTTGTTATATGAACATTTTAGTTTAATCTCCCAAAATAAGCTGTGTCAGGATTGTTCTGTTTTGAAACAGGTCTGCTCCACGCCACGTACCCCCAGCAAATCCCACTGTAAAAACAGGATGTCTCCCACTTGCTCTCTAAAGGCCGCACAGCTGCTAAACTGTTGCACACAGAGAAGAGTAATGGGCGGCTGGTGCTGGACGCCACAAATGCTGCTCTTGCTGACAAAGCTGCTAATAACAAGTGCTGTGATCCCTTGTTGCTTTGTGCGCCATCTTGAATGCTTGTTAAACTGCTAGGCTGTCTCTTCTCCCTCACACGCCGGTATTCAGATCAGTCGAAGCCACAAGGGCCACATCAGCCGCTCACATTGCAGGAAATGAGCTTGACTGCTGACATATTGATGGTTGTTTTTTGTTTTTCTCCATTTTTACTGAAGTTTTGGTGCACTTCCTTTTAAAGTGTGACATACTGTACTGGTAGTACAGGAATGGATACAGATGTTCAGACTGTAATCAACTCTGAGGGATCAAGCAGCTACTGCCAACTTGTTGAAACCTGCTGTTAAACCGTAATAGAGACTTTTGCATGTTTGTTAGACATATTTACAAGGTCAGAACTGTTTGAATTACAAAGCAGGTGATTGTCACACACCATGTTTTATGGCTGTGTATTGTCTTTCTTATTTGGTTTGTAGTTTGCCGCATATGAGTTTATGAATAACTGTGTAGGTCAAAAGTGTGAATGATCTCATTTATTCCCTCTTTATATATATATATATATGTGTGTGTGTGTGTGTGTGTGTGTGTGTGTGTGAAATGTTTTGTTTTTTTACGTTTTTGAAAGAAGTCTTGTTCTCACCAAGCATTTAATTGATCAAAATACCGTAAAAAATGTAGTATCACACAACTATAAAGAACTGTTTTCCATTTGAATATGTTTTAACATGTAATTTATTCCTGTGATAGCAATTACTCCATTCTTAGTGTCACATCACATGATCCTTAGAAATGATTAAAATAAGCTGATTTGCTGCTCAAGAAACATTGTTTTATTGTCAGTGCTGAAACAGTTGTGCAACTTACTATTATGGGAAGTGTGATATTCTTACTTTTTTCCATAGTAAGCATGTATGTCAAATGATTTTGATCAATTAAATGTGTCCTTGTTGAAAGCTATATATATTTAGTTACAAATGTTTCCCCTCCGCTTGCATATCGGCAGTTTTTCATCACATTCTCTCTGTGTGTGTGTGTGTGTGTGTGTGTGTGTGTGAGAGAGAGAGAGAGAGAGAGTCTATTTTACACTTTTGGTTTAAAAGTCTCTTCATTTATATCTGTGTTTTTATCT